AGTCTCAATCCTACCCCACTCCTTGTAGTGCTCGGGATCAAGATCCATGAAAGACTGGTTGAACGTGTTTGTCTGTTTGTTTAGGGAAAGCTGAGAGGAGATAACAGATGGGATAAAAATCAAAGTCAAAGCCCAACCTGATGGAATCCAGGATCCTGTGTCGAGCTGAGATATCCAATACGACGCCGTATTTCCGTTGTCCTTGTTCGAACCGTAAGATACCCTGGGCAGGATCCCATTGAAATTCAGAGCCAGATCGCCTCCATCTCCAGTCTTTTCCATGATGTATGTCGGCTAATCCGGGTCCGATCTGGAAGCCATTCATTGTCGGTACGAGGTCAATGCCTGGTTGAAGGGCCAATTTGGATCGTTGGACATATACAGAAGTCTCCCGTGAACTTCTCCAAACCAATCCATGATCAGCAATGTATCTGGAGCCTCGACCCAGAGCTTCCAAATTCGGCAGTGGCGAATGCGGCATGAAATCCATCCCATCAAAGCTTACTCTGATGTACTTATCATCTTCCCTCTCTCTTCTTAAAAAATTCTCCATATGATGTACATAGCGGGTTCTATTGCGGTACTTAGGAGATTCTTAAGTACTGTTTCATTCAAGGAGTTGATTGTAGCTGCATAGATGCCCGCGCACCAAGAGGTCAAACGTATTTTCATCGATATATCTCTGTTGGCCACGAAAAGAGCGAGTGGTCGTGGGAGAATTTAATTATCTTTTTCTGTAGGCGGATAAAAACTCGCTCCCCTTCTCCATAGATTATGGGGATGTTCACGCCGAATATGCCCAGTAACGAGTACGCAACATCTTCTGGTCTCCTCGTCTCGCCTCTCGATAGGAGCGATACATTGCGTTGATAGCCTCGCTTTTGTCAGACCCTCTGTTCTGATTGATACAAATGGTGTCAACCCACGCGCACGAAAGTCTAGGCGTTTGCCTTTGTGCCAGTTCGTACGCGCCACGGATTTTGGCATCCTGCTGAGCTAGATTGGCGGCATCTGGTCCACGTAGATCCAGGAACTCAAGCTCCTTGTCACCCCAAGTGTGGGACAGTATCGCCCAGGGCGGAGCGTCCCTGAGATCGTCAAACTTCTCGATGATGTACGTGCTCGTGTTGATCAACCGCGCGTTTCTTCACAAGGATCGAGTGGTCAAGATTCAATTAGCTCCCAGCTCAAGAAAAGACCCAGAGTTTTCTTCGATCTCAGCACGCTTAACAAAGATGAACAGCCTAAGGTTATGAGAGGGATTTGAGCAGGCTGAATGGGCTGGGCCTTAGCATGAAAACCTTTGGAAACTCATAGGTTGATAGCACTTCACTACAAGTACATACTATTAAGCGGGGTGGAGGGGCAGCGAGTCAGGTTATTAAACAGTAAGGCTGACAGTGAAGGGCGAAGTTGGGTAAAGGTTTGTTGCACGTGCCTTGCCTGCCTCGGTGTGACTACCCAGTACTTAATTGGGAAATGGTGTCAACCTGCCTATCCGTTGAGGTGTCGGTGGCATCAGGCGCCCATCCTCTTTCATAAACTCTCTGGGAATCAATTTGCATGACGTACATATTCATTAATTAATATGATTCTTTTGCCGTGCATTGTGAGAATGTCTCAATCCCGCCTGCATGGTTCTCCCCATTGCCAATACTGAAGACACGATGGAGACAACTCCGCTAAGATGTCCAGCTCATCCTGAAGATTATGGCGCTGCTGCTCAATCTGGCACCCATATCACGCTGTCTGCCCTCGTCAAAGTTCTCCGCGGCGTTTGTATCGCCACGGGAACGCCCGAGCGCACCGTAGAAAGATTCGAACGCTGTTTGTCGTCCCAATCGTCTCAAATTTTCTCTAACTATGCGGAAGAAAACATCCACATCAATAGGGGTGCTGAGTCTTGGTTCTCTGCTTGGTCGGACGCATTGGCGCCATTACTGTCCGACAAGGATATGGAGTTTCGGCACCTTCTCAATCTTGCACTCGTTATTAGTTTTCTACGGGAAAGCTCTCACCACTCTATGACTGTCAATGGAGAGGATCTGACCGTCCTGTGGAAATTTGTCCACAATGCGCTTACCAGCTCACAACTCACTCAAGCTTCAACTGTCTCGTACAGCGCGCAGGGATTCTTCATAATCCCACTCTGCGGCCTGATAGGACAGAATGGCAGCGGCGACGAGCTGTACCGCCTCCACATTTGGCTCCCTGACGGCCAACGAGATCCACAACTTCGTGCCCATTCCTACCAAGCTTTTATTGAGAGCTGGATCCTTGCTGGCAACGGAAAGTACAGTACCTTCAACGTCGAAATTACTACGGCAGACCCCGAGCTCGCTACGCATACCGAACTCCAGACTAAATTTCAGATCGTGGAGGGCCTCGCTGAGCAGGATTGTGAAAATCAAAACTATCTAATGCTTCAGGATAGCCAACGGTCAGTGCGTGCGATCAAAACAAGATCATCGACTCACACAATCAACATGAGCTACCGCATCGAACCAGGAACGTGGCACTCACTGGAGGTGGCTCCAGATTCCCTGCACGCCGGAATCTTCCTGCTGAAACTCAATTTGGCATCTGAGAGAGATGTACGCATCCTTGGCCCCAAGAATGTTGACCTCCAAGTTCCGCACTCACCCAAAACGGACATCACATCAGCATTGGTTGCTGCCAATATAAATGCTGTTCGCTCGTGGGAGCTATTGTTTGATGCCGGTAAATGGCACGCGCGGCGGTCCGAAATGGAAGATGCCCTACGTGTCTTCAACAGCGCGCTATCCCTGTGCAAAACCGCCCTTGAGTTTCCGAACGCAACTCATTACGCTCGACTGGTCCATGGAGAGCTCGGTTTTACGAACAGGTGTCTCGGAAGATATCACTTGGCGAAAGAACACTTGGAAGAAGCTCTCAAAGACCCAGGCCATAATTATGCTCGAGTTAAGGCGGCTGGCGAGCTCGGGACAGTCTACCGTATTCAAAATCAACTGGCGGAGGCGAGAGACACATTCCAGACCCAGTATGAGACTGCGAAAACCCTCGGAGATGATCGTGCAACATGTCGCGCTATTGGAAATGTGGGCATGACGAACTATCAACTTTCCCAGCTGTACCATGATGACACACTCCTAGAGCTTGCTATTGAGCAGCTCAAAGAACGAGTCGACCGTGCCAGAAGCATAAAAGAAGCTCTGAATGCTGAGAAAATGGACCACAGAAAGAAATTTGGTAGACTGAAACACGCTTCAGTGTGGGAGTCGGTAGGCTTGAACCGCCTGTCGCTGTGCTACATCGCTCAGGGGAACACGAGAGAAGCAGTACTTGTAACGGAAGAGGCGCAGCAGATAAAGATCGAACCAGAAGATCACACCGTCACAGCCTTGTCGCACTTCTTCTACGGACGGGCGCTGCTGCGAGACGGACAGCGAGCAGCAGCGATGGAGCATTTCAATCCCTCGGTCGCATGCACGCCAGCTATCGCCCTATGCAAAGAACCTTCAGAGGAGAATCGCCAGTACATGCGAGAGCTGGTCGATATCGGCGTAGATATGGAGCACGTGGACGAGTACGGCTACACGGCATTGGATTATGCTGTATTCGGCATGGACACGGAAATGGAAGCGATTGTCATCGAGGGGCTCCGCCATACACTGAAAGGTGAAATTGATGCAGAAATCGCCCAACGCCAGTACGAGGCGAGACTTCGAAAGGGCTATCGGGAGCTCTTCCACGACAGGATGCGTCCGGTTCTGTTGACAGGGGGTGACGATACCCTGAAAAATCTTCGCATCGTGTACGCTGCTGCACTTAATGCGAAAAAACAAGAAAATATGACGCGGCAGTTCGACACGCTGAAGTATGTGCATTATTCCGACTTCCTTCGCTGGGGAAAACTCCCACAGTACAGTGATGGCTTCATAAAGGAGTTGTCGGCAGAGCTTCAAGCGCCTCAAGGACGCGCTGCCGAGTTCATAATATTTATCTCGCACAGATGGATTCATAAACGAGGTGATCAGATCTTTCCAGACGATCCAGAGAACTCGCAGTACCACCGTATGGTCCAGGCCACGAGGGATTTTCTGGATCTCAATCCGGCGGTGGACCCTGACAGGTTGTGTATCTGGTTAGACTACGCTTGCATCGACCAAGATAATCCAGGACCCGGGATAGCCGCTTTACCAATGCTGCTAGCGCAATGTGATGCGGTCATTAGCCTCGTTGACGACGACTATTACAAACGTGCATGGTGCGTGTTGGAAACTGTCATGATCCAGACTCTGGAGAAGTCATATCAACGACACCGATGGTATGAGCACGCTCCGTCCTCGGGAAGGGGAAGCGACGATAAGGAGTGGACACTTCGACCTGGACCATTGGATTTGGAAATCACCGCAGCAAATAAAGAGTTGACCATCGAGGAAGATCGCCCCAAGATTCTGTTCTTGGAGCGGCAGACTAAGCTTTTGAGGTGATGTTCACTGAAACAAGATCGAAAAACCTGACGTCCCCAGTGGTAAGGGCCATGTTGTCGAATAAGCAGACATGTCTACCCTATTCCCGGACATACAGCCGAAAGGGTGGACGTTGTCAACAAGGACACATATATGCGAATGGATTCTTCCATGCTCTGTGGTCTCCATTGACGTCTGAGACTGCCAGCATCCACTCAGGGGCACCAGAGCATGTCAATCTTGGCAACCGACTCGCTATGTTGGACAAATGGCTAATACAAAAGAAGGGAGGGGCGAATTAAAACGCACTTTCAACCGAGTTGGATGCAGTTGTCAGCACTTAGAAAGCAAAGATATCAATTGAAATGGCTAAAAATAGGAAATGACGACTTTTAATGGCAGGATTATTATTTGACTTACCTAGATGCCTCCTGGTATTTTTCTCGGATAGACAAGGCTGGATGCCCCATGCTGTCTTCAAAACAAGCCACCAGTTGACGTTTGAGTGCAGCTCAATCACACTTCACAGTCTACTGTATCAACGCCTCACTCCTTCACCGGTACCCCTAAGGCCAGGAACCCGTTCGCCCAATACTGCACCCGCTGATCATTGACACCCGTCTGTTGTTCTGGCCACCACTGCGAGTCCGTGCAATGTGTGTTGTAGTACCACACAGCTGCGGCGAAGGAGAACCCATCCAGCTGCACGAGGGCGAGGAGCGCAGGGACTTGGCTCTCGCTGAGCGCAGAGCCCGTAGAGATCTTGGGTTTCAACTTCCTGGCGGGGGCCGCATACTCTTGGACAAACGTCGGGGGTATCATGGCGCGGTCTCCTTTCCCCGGCGTTCCGGGAGTGGAAAGCGGTTGCGGCTGTACTTGATGTTCTTTTCCGATCCTCTTCTTCTCTCTCACCTCTGTCCTCGCAGCACGCCCCCCGGTTCACTTGCATCCAGGCTCATTCCGTTACTTTACGTGGCATTGCATCGCATTCCATTGCATTGCACTTTTCATGGTCTCGACCTATCGATCTGAGTCCCTAAGCGCCTAATGTCCAAGTTCCACTCTCCTAACCGCCCCAGCCTTGTCCAATTACGCAAGCTCCACACCTACATATCCACACCACACATGTCCACAACTACGAGGTACGACCCTCTCAACCAGCCAACGACGTACGGAGTGCACAGCTATGCGCCTACGCCTGTGGATTATGTTGACGTATTTCGCACCCCCTACTATTCTATGAGTGAAGATGTAGGTGAGTGGGTGCCACGCGTTCTATTTCCGGGCGCTTAAAAAGGAGATGCCAAAACCACCACATCTTGATTTTTGCGCGACCCGTTCCACCCCCCGGCCGGCGGGTGATGTTTTGTGTTTGTGAGCACGCACAGCCGAAACACGCACGCACATGGGTTCGCAACTCAGACACAACACACGAACCAACTGATTACATGGGCACAGGATTTCGCGATCTGGCCGATCTGGCGCGTACAGCGACGAAGGATAAGCTTACCCTTGCTCTGGCCCTTGCTCTAGGCCGTGGCACGCTGGCGCTGGTTGGTTCTTCGTTCTCGGTTATGCATGACGGATGACGACGATTCTCTCAGCCCGTGACCAGGTACCCAGGGAGGTAGGCAGCGGGTAGTTTCCTGTCTCCCTGGCTAGGGCACAGCCGGTCAACTTTATTTCGAGTGTTGAGTTGGGTCGGGTTGGGTTGCCTGCAGGATTGGGTTGCAGGATTTCACTCATGGCCAGCCCAGATCAAGGCAGGACAATGCAGGGCAAGGCACAGAAGAAGAGGCTTCTTTATATGTAACTCTGTCAGGCAGGCAGGCAGGCAGGCAGGTAGGCTGTGGTGCTTTTAAAATTTATGTGCGGAAAGAAAAGCCCATTGTTGATATACTTAAACCCCCCTTTCACGACGCGGCGAATCGAAAGCTTGCTATTCTGTTTCTTGATTTATTCTTATTCTTCTAGAGCGTCTCTTGAAGCTATCGCTGCTTTTTCTCGCTTGAGGCAAGGCTTTCAGCCGCTTTCTTCTTCTGCTGCTGCTGCTGCTGAACCAGAGCCTTCTTGCCATGACACCAACAATGACTCGGGGCATCACTTCTGCCGTGACTTCTGCCGCGAACAGTGCCTCTGAGCCTGTTCGGCCCTCTTTACCCCGCCGCTCTTCTTCCCTGCATAAACAAGTAATAGCAAAACTCCGCCCACTGCCGTTCCAGTACCTCTGGTCTGTCTGGCACTCCAAGTCCCAGCTCCAGCCTACCAACAACAACAACAACAACAATCATCATTCACCCGATTCATACCAATTGACAATGTTGGTCGATTCGGTCGCTGACATCGGCACCTTCTACCGCATTTTCAACAACCTGCCCTGGTCTCAGATCAGACAGAGAGACAGTATTCACATATTTCGCTCCGGAGTTCAGCCGTTGTGGGAAGACGAGGAGAACCGAAGGGGTGGGCGGTGGTTGATTCGAGTGCGTCCGGAAGGAGGAAGAGATGTAAAGTGTTGGGAGGAGATATGTCTGTTGTGCTGTGGTGGAGAATTGCAGGCTGCTATTGCCCAAGGTACGTCTCAACCTCGACTCCATGGTCTGTAGAGATCTTGGTGATCATTCACCGATGATGTTGTTGCGCAGAACGTGACCATATCCTCGGAATGTCCTTCTCGCCTCGACAATACGTCACACACATATCAATATGGACCAAAAAGGGTGATAATCTGCGCAGTATCATGTTAATGGAACGCGCCATTCTCGCCGGCTTGTCGCCCAATCTCAGACCCAAGTCAACCACCGATTTTAACTACCGGAGACATGCCGAGAAGATGGACTTGCACAGCATGCAATTGCAAGGTCGACAATCTCAGGCGCAAGTCCCATTCTTGCACGCTCCAGTGAGTGTGGGATCAACAATAAGACGTTCCACGCCTGCACGCGCTTTGACAGTGACTTGAAAAATGGGGTTTGAATGCCGGGTTATCGGCCTGGGACATATCGGTCAATGGGTACGTGATCACGGTCTCGACGAGCGTCGCGAGCGTCGCGAACATCACTTCTGTCTCTGTCGCGCCTTCTGTCGTCGCGCCGGTCGTCGCGCCGGTCGTCCTTTCGATCGTCTCTCCGATCGTCTTGTCGATCATCGCGCCGGTCGTCCTTTCTCTCTTCTCTTCGATCATCATGGCGTCGGCTTCGATCTCTCCTGTCTCGATCTCTCGAGCGGTCCCTTTCACGGTCCCTATCCCTATCCCTATTCCGGTCACGATCACGATCACGGCTTCGATCGCGGTCTCGATCTCTCTCTCGGTCTCGCTCTCTATCCCGATCGCGCTCTCTGTCCCGGTCCCGATCTCGCTCTCGATACCTATCGCGTGACCTATCTCGCTCGCGCTCACGATCACGGTCTCGATCACGGTCTCGATCACGATCTCGGTCTCGGTCCCTGTCCCTATCTCTTTCTCGCTCTTTTGATCGATTCCGATCGCGGTCACGATCTCTCCGGTCATAGTCTCGATCTCGGTCTCCACCATCGCGCTCGCGGTCACGATCACGATTTCGTTCTCCCTCCCGGTCTCGATCTTTATCGCTGCGATGACTGTCGTACTTTCTCGTCGGCTCTCGATCACGGTCTCTCTCTAAATCTCGGGCTCGACGTCTTTGCCGATCGCGTTCACGTTCTTCCTCAGTACGATGAACACCACCTCCAGGGACATAGCGGTCGATACCCAATGGCGATGCGGAACGAGGTCTTCTTTCTCGGACGGAACGTCTTTCGTGACTAGGTGACGGTGAATCGCGCTGGCTCCGGGCTTCACCTTCCTCGCGGTCTTTGCTTGGGCTTCGGCGGCGGGATGGTTCGGTCTTCTCCTTTTCTTGAATTGACGACCTCCTGTCACGGGATCTGCTTCGGCGGTCATGCTCTCGTTTGTAGCTCTCTCGAGATCTGTCTCTTCTTCGGGAATATCGGTCGGATGTGACATATTTCCGCGAGCTGTCGTGGACTTCGGACTTGTCGAAATTGTACTCAGGTCTCTGCTTAGACTTCTCTGCCATTTTTTTGCCTTCGCTCAGGAGGAGCTCAAGAGCGGTGGCCTCTAAATCCTTCTCGTCCGCTTGAACGTCCTTGACAGTTGAGGATTCTGCAATCGAATCTCGCCGATCAGTGCTCTTTCGGCGTGTTCGTTCATGATCTCGATCACGGTCGCGGTCTCTTTCTCTCTCCCGCTCCTTCTCATACCGAGCGTATCTTTCCCGTCTCTCTTCTTCACGCTTCTTGTGTCTTTCATCCCTGGCCTTGATCCTTTCGGCTTCCCGCTCCTCTTCCTCTTTCCGTCTCTTTTCGCGCTCAATTCTTCTTTCTTCTGCCTCTGCTTCACGTTTCTTCTTCTCCTCTTCCTCGCGCTTGGCTTCTTCTTTCTTCCGCTTCCGTTCCTCTTCCTGCTTAATCTTAGCCTTCAACTCTGCAGTCTCCCGCAGCAATTGCTCCATCCGAGCTTTATTCCTTTCTCTTTCAGCAGCTCGATTTTGTGTCTCCGCCGCATATTGCTCATCCGATTTTGCCCCTCGCTGCTCCTCTTCAGCTGCAAGGTCAGCCCCGACGTCTTCCCTGCGAATGTCACGCACCGCATCCAGCACGGTGTTCAGATGCCTCGCGATTTCCTGGTCAATTCTGGACTCTACATCTTGATATATCCCGCTCCGGTCTACGGCACCTTGTATCAGCGTGGCTGCTTTGCCCCGCTCTCGACTGAGCAAATTCGGATCTTTCTCAATCTCGGCTTCCGCAATCGCGTGAATCTTATCCGTAAGGGCGGTTTTCGCATCGGAGGTATTGTAGGAAGCCCATACTTGTTTTCGCAGGCTGTCGTAGCCGCCTTTCTTCTTGAACTTGAGAAGAAGCGCATCGATGGTGGATCGCTGCTCTTTGACGAGGGGGAGGTCGGAGATCTTGAAACGAGGGCGTAATGAGAAGGGGGTCGAGGACTCGACCGGCGGTGCGTCCGCCATGACTGTGTCGGCCATGTTGCCAGACGCTCGTTTGCAACGGCTCCAGGGAGTTTATTGAAAATTGCTGTGAAAGTTGAAATCCTTGGGTTGAACTTTGACGTGAACCGCGTTTGGTTGCGCTCACGTGCCCAGGCTTAATACTACGGCGAGGTATTGACTCTTGAAACGCACTATCGGGATGGCTCGATAGTTCAATTCTAGCTCGGCCTCGAGTTGAAACCTCTGAAGAAAAGATAGATTGACTGACGGGTATCTACCGAGTAGAGATAAAGAAGAGATGTACTTGTTATGCACCTGCCTTTTATTGGACGGTGATGCCTAGACAAAGACAGTGCCCTTCATTATCACTGCCATTGTACGTGGTGGCAGCTTATACTGGGGAGTGAAGGTTCCAAATCGTTGCCCAATCCAATCTTCATTGGCGCGGCTAACACTTATCTAAACCGAGATATGAAGGCATTCTTTTATTCCCCGTCGGACGGATACTGTACAGCATAAATTTTTCATGCCCTTGTTTGATTGCTGCCCAACCGGCTCAAATCCGGCGCCGGTTCACATGAAAAGATGCGAATCCTGACCCTCTGCCTTCCAGCCTTCGTCGTTTTGGTGCTGGAGTTATAGATATATCCTTGAAATACTCTCTTTGATGAGGGTAAAAAAAGCGCTCCATCCCAGTTGAAACCCCAGCATTCGCTTCCCCGAAGCTCGCTATAACCACGTTTGATTTTACGGCGTTTACCGCTTAGATCCAAGAAGCCTCAGCGTAGGCTGCGGGCGATTCGGGTGTAGTCTGTGGCCTCGCTTGAATACTCTGGCCATCGCAAATAATCGACTGAATGCTTGAAATTCTGTCTCCGCCTCCCTAACGTACTCGGACTGGATCACCCTGGCAGAGTCATTGCTCCACAGTTGACTCGGGAGCGAGTATGTTTGGATCTTCAGTGGGCATGCGTTGTCTGATTGAATCCGAAATCCTTCTTAAATCTCTCATTTGTCGCCTTGTCGCTCATTATTTTCTCCGGTTTCCGTGTTGCTTTCATTCGAAGTCCTATATTGCTCAAGGATCTTCTTCAAAGCCGTCCGTTTGATCGGCTTGGGAAGGAAACCATTCATACCGGCTTCCCGACAGGCTGTTCGATTTATTTCATGGTCAAAAGCTGTCAGCGCCAGAATGGGAGCATCAAAGCCTAGCTCTCTCATCTTCTTTGTGGATTCAATTCCGTCCATGCGGGGCATTTGAATATCCATTAAAACAAGTGTGAAAGGCTGTGGCTTTTTGTTCTCATTGTCCACCTGAGAGAAGGATCGTTGCACAATGTCAAAAGCCTCCTCCCCGTCTTCGGCCAAGGTAACGTCGTTCACTTTTTCGAGCTTGAGTAATTTAAGGATCACCTGTTGATTGACCGGATTATCTTCTGCGACAAGAACTTTCAGGGAACACGTTTTTGCCGCAGCCGCTGGTGATGGAGCTGCTGGTTTCTTCTCGACTGTGTTCACGCCATTTGCTTGCTCTTCTAGTTTCATCCCTGTCGTGTCATTCGTCTCATCCGGCGTTTTTACAGACATAATTGATGCCAATCGGTTGTTTGGGTGGGGTAAATTTTGCCTTTTGTCTTGTTTTGGCTGCTGGACTACCACGTCCGCTCTTTCTGAGCTCGCATTCGCGTCTATCAGATAGGGCTGGGAGAACCCGACGAGGCGGGGCACATCCATCTGGGAATCCTTGTCTTGCGTGGAATACAGCGAATTCTGTCTCGACTGTCCAGGTTGTCGCGTGTCTCTCGACCTGCGAGATTTTGTACTGAAGCTCTCAAACTGTATGCTGCTGGATATACTTCCGGGTTTTGGTCGTGCTAGAGAGTCGGAAACAGAAGGTACCACCTCCTTCGTGTAACGCAATGGCAGAGAAAGTGTGAATGTACTGCCAATGTCGACAGTGCTCTTCAATCTGATGGTGCCGCCCATCATGCCTGCAAGCTGCGAACATATCGCCAGCCCGAGACCGACACCGCCATGTTTCTTGCTTAGAGCCAAGTCACCTTGGACGAAGGGCTTGAAGATATCTTGTTGCAAGTGTTCCGGAATACCCGAGCCGGTGTCTTCAACCTCAAAGTCGAACATCAGTCCCTTCAGCGACGATTTTGGCGGGGTGAACTCAGTGTCGCGTCGTTGTAACGCCTTAACCGCTGTGATCGGGGAAGCTGTAGTATTTGAATATGCCACATCAGGCATGGCTTCGGGTTCCACAAATCCTTTGCATCGTATCCGTACCTCGACGACGCCTTTAGCGGGGGTGAACTTCAACGCATTGCTTATGAGATCTGAGCGCCGGTCAATGGAGTCCCATCAATAGCTCAACAATTTGCGAGACCAAAATCCAGGACACACCAGGAAGTCACGGGTAATATAATCATCTTGGAAAAGACAGTGCGAAATCCGGACTTACTCATCAGAATTTGTAGTATCCTATTCTTGTCCCCTCTCAATCCTATTTCCCGCAGAGGTCCAAGGTCTGCAGGCCCTTTGGCCAGGACATTCGTCTTCTGCTTTTGGATAGCACCAGTCATATCCTGTCTAGCGACAATGGCGTCCTCTGGGGCATCATGATCGGTATCCCCTTGTACTGTTGGTTCGGTCCCGATGAAGACCACTCTCAAACTTATATCAGATTCACGCGCCTGCTTCTCAAAGATGGACACGAGCTGTGAGCCGACGTCCACCAAGCGAAATGTGTCTTCCTCGATGGCGAAGTTCTGGCCAAAGGAACTGCGGCTGAATGTCAATAAATCGTTGAGAAGATGCAAGAGCAGGTCCGAAGATTTGTAGATGATTTTGAGGGACTGCCGGACGCTGGCAACGTCTTCCTCTTGCATAGCGATGGCGCACATGCCGATAATCCCGTTCAGTGGTGTTCGTAGCTCGTGAGATACATTGGCGATGAACAAGGTCTTGCTTTCGTTGGCCGCTTCGGCCGCATTTCGACTTTGCTCGAGTTCCGCAGTTCTTTTCTTCACACGGTCCTCAAGTCTCGCATATTGAATGGTGAGCTCGTCAGTCATTTCGTTAAAGGTACACGTCAGATCGGTTAATTCGTCATAGATGACGTGGCGACGCTCGGGCACGCGCTCAGGGATCTTAAATACTCGCACTGGCCGAACATGAGTCTTCTTCCTGGCAGACCGTTTGTAGACGTTCTGGACCATGCACTTCTCCTGGACGAGGTCGGCCTTTCCCAGAGCATTTTCGCTGTCCGTGTCGGAGGACTTTTCGGAGGGATCGTAAGCTTCGTACGTAGTCACTGAATTTTCAGCCGCAGTTCGGAGCGCGATGATCGGCTTGACGGCATAGTGGGCGAGCGGACTGTTTCCAGGTCAGTGTATGTGAGGGTGGCAGATCGTGCTCCTAATACACTCACAAGGAAACAATGAGAATAGCACCGACCACACTGAAAATGCATGCCAGCACAGTATTCCGTAGTTGATTAATAGGAGCAACGACTTCGCTGTGCGCCTGACCAAAGACGACAACCCAGTCAACAATGGGGGAAGATACCTTGGCATAGCCAGCTGATATTTGCTTATTTTCCTCGTTGTGGGTAGACATTAGGGCTCCAGCATTATTGATCTGCTCGGTATCGTCAGACCAAACGCGAAGCACTGCTGGAAAGTCTCCCATGGGAAAAGGAAGATAGGGGTCTTTGGCCCGCAGCGGATGTCGACTACTGAAGGGCGGCAGAACAAACTGAAGTGGAACGTTGGCATTTTCAGCTTTTGAGCGACCATCGACCTCGTCGGCGAAGAGGTTGTCGGGACGGGCAGGACCGATGATCACCACCTCTCCGGTTTTTCCCAGCCCAACACGGGACTCAACGATATCGTACAGTGCCTTTCCGTCAACCACAACAGTGAGCCACCCAAGCACATCGGTACGACTCGTGTTATTGTTCACGGGGACCGTGTATGAGATGAGCGAGGAATTGCTGTGTAGAAAAAGCGGACCGAGGAATAGCGTCGAGTTGTTGTACAACAGTTTATCTTCGTAGATGGCAAATATTGGGTTGGATAGCTCGTCACCGTACGTGAGGTTAGGATAGAGCTGAGGCGGAAACCCACTGCCACTGTCGCCTAAGAGCACTGCAGAGCCATTCTGGTACGTGAAAGGGAGCACGATCTTGCGGGCTGCTCCCCTTCCGGTCGCGCCAGTCAGTGCACGACCGCCTTGGTCAGGCCGGGGTGCGCGGGGGAAAATGGCAGCTTGCAGAAGAACTGCATCGTCGGACCCGCCAGACAAAGCGTCCTGGAGGTTAGACTAGATCGACATCAGCGAGTCTGCTTCGGAAACTGGTTAACCTCGCCACCAACCTGTATGGCGTCGTAGAGATCCTGGGTATGGTTGCCATTATTGAAGTCGCGCAGCAGATCCTGGAGAATATCTCTGGTGGCAATTGACTGCACCGAAGTGCCCATTAAAGAGATATCCTGGGCCACCTGAGTGGCTTTCAGATTCGCCGTGACCATGAGTGTCTCCCATTTTGCGCTGTTCAGGTGATGCACAGTCTGGACCCAGATCGAGACAGCGAGGATGGTTAGCGACAACAGACTCGTCATGCCAATGACAAGACATAGCTGTTCACGAATATGAAGGCGGAACCTCATCTTGTGCCTGTCAACTGAGGCAGCGGAGCAAGCGGAACAGCCGGCGGCGAATTGGAGATTGCGGGCGCACAGTTCGCGGTCTAGTCACTGGGTTGGTGGCGCCCGACGCAGGCGTGAGCGTGTCGAGGCGGATGGAGCGCTGAGAATAACAGGGCCTTTACTCTTCTCACGCCGTCATCCATAGCCAGCACTCGAGGTGGTGAGAGATACAAACACAGAAGGATTGTGACATTTCCAATGGCTGCTGGATAAAAACAAGCTGATGGGTGCGTGCGGCTAATTCTGGTGGCTGCGCCTTGTAATACGCGGTAGGCGAATCCCTGTGATGCCCTCGGTGAATCGGCTTTAGTCTCAGCTGAGGGCTCAGCAACTAGACTTGCTTAGTCAACGCCAACCAACTCGCCAAGTCATCAGGAGGAACAAGAGGGATTCGACCTAGGAAGTAATAGGAAGCTGGGTGCGGAGGTAGTACTACTACTTCTATCTTTTTTCCCAAGGCTCAACGATGATTTCAAGCCCTATAGCATCAAGCCTCCTGCCTTTGTAAACGCCCTGGCCGCCATAGCCCTTGATTCCTCATTTCTACCACCGAAATCAACCCTGTTCAACCAAAACTGCGTCAGCAGTTAGGCCTATGCAATGCACGGATGTACTTAGACGGTTATGGAATGTCGGTTCATCCTTCTTCCCCGTGATATCCGAGCTTCCATCATCAGGAGATAGGGGGAAGACCAAGTTCGGCAAACTTTCCCATCAATTAGCCTGCTTGTAGTAGCCGTCACAGAGATTGAACGATACATGTTGAGATGACGGACGAACAGAGAACAAGACTGAGCCTCGCAAAGACCATGTGCTAAGAATGCCCAGCAGAAGTGGGACGCGAGCCGTAGCTAATCTTTCGGCCCTGACTCGGTGTCTGAGCAAGAAGTTGTCCTGGCGTTCTGCAAGCTTGACCGGACCACGGGTATTTTGTTCCGGCGTCAGGCAAGACATTGACGTCTTAGTGATGGGTAGTTTCCAAAGAGAATACTCCCTGCACCACCTACTTGTTCCATTGCAATACATTGTTAATTCATGGTTGTCTTCTCGAGGCCATGTGGCAGAGGCGGACGGTGTCATCCCCGGTCTTGGCACTGCGGTCGAGTGAAGGGCCTGGGTAGCGCAATTCGGACAAAAGACCTTTCAGCCAAGTCTGTCCCCAAGCTCACACCCTCCCTCTCGTCTTCGCACTCACCTTGCGCACCTTTATCCTTACTCTTTATCCTAAACTGCTGACAATACAACCGTGGGGCTATGTATCCTTTGCTCCGTATAAGGCCAAAGCCACGTCGGCTGGTCCAGCGGGGGGCAGCGTTATTTCCTTCTGTCAAATGAGCGTTTCCGAATACCTTGTACCTCGACAATGCTGTATGTAACTGGGAGTCCCTACCTAATTGGACCGCTCTTAGATGACAGCGGCAATAAAAGTGACTTTCAGCAATGGAAATTGAGAAGGGCCATCGTTTCCTTCGGGGGTGAAGAAAAGAATTGGCGGCGATTGTCGGACAGCCTTAAGGTCCTCGATCCACACTTAGGCGCATTGCCCATAGTCGGAGCAGTCCACGCTATGGGATTCTTTCCATCAAAAATGGGAGAGACCCATGCCGATTTATCTCTTTTTCCCCTCCTTCTGTTTTGTCCCTCGAGGTTGAGACTGGCTGTGTTCTTGTTTTCCGGCACGATCTCATTCTCCAAAGTATGGCTGTAATGACACGGCAGCGAGCGAGATCAAATCTCGGTTTGGCTGAGCGAGGACCAATACCGGTAACTTTGGTGTCTGGGTTTCTGGGGAGTGGTAAGACAACACTTCTTAAACACATCCTCACCTCTGACCAGCATTCTCTGCGGATCGCGGTCATTGTCAATGACATGGCCGCTCTTAACATCGACGCCTCCCTCATCAAACGCCACGTGGTCTCACAGACACAGGAACGTCTGATACAAATGGAGAATGGTTGCATCTGCTGCACACTTCGCGGGGACTTGCTCGAAGAGCTGGCGAAATTGGCTCGCAACGGCGAATGCGAATACGTCCTTATCGAGAGCACAGGCATCAGCGAGCCAATGCAAGTCGCCGAAACATTTACAGAAGAATTTGCGCAGGCCATGATCGAGGCAGCAAATGATGGCTCACTGGAGGGCCGGCAAGATGATGAGAGGGTCTTGAAGGAGATGTATGATGCAGGTTTTCAATCAATAATTTCATGTTGCCCAACTAAAACGGTGTTACAGGGCAGACTTGGGTGGCTTGCAAAATGTCGCCAAACTAGACACCCTTGTTACCATTATCGACGCGTTCAATTTCTTTGACAACTTTGCGACCACAGAGTTCATTACGGACCGATGGGGAAAGGAAGGTGTTGATCCAGAAGACGAACGTACTATAACGGATTTGATGGTTGACCAGATGTTAGTGTATTGCCTGAAGATACAAGTCATGCAAGGCTCTTACGACATAACTAATCAGTCCGTGACAAACAGTGAATTCGCCAACACCATCATCCTCAACAAGGCCGACAGCGTGACCAAGGCGACAAGGTCTCGGATCAGGGCCGTTATCCACCAGCTTAACCCTGCCGCAAAAGTCTTGGAATCCAATTACTCCAAAGTCGACGCCAGAGAAGTCATCGCCACCAAGACATTCTCGTTCGAAAAAGCCGCTACCAATATGGGCTGGCTCCAGAGTCTGCACGAGTTAAGCAAGCGAGAGATCAATGGACAGGTCAAGATAACTCCCAAGCCGGAGACGGAAGAGTAACAGCCCTGAAGACGCAGGCATAGCCAAAATACTCTGTTCTAGGCTACTAACGAAGCTACTAGATATGGTATTTCAAGTTTCGTCTACCGTGCACGGCGGCCCTTCAATCCACGACGCCTGTATAAGCTGATACACGATAAGTTCGTGATCATGGAAGGCCAGATCCAGCGTGAAGATCAGGAGGAGGAAGATCAAAATGAAGAAGATGGGATGGAAGTTGAAAATGCCGAAAACCTGTCCTCAAATACCGAGGGTAGTTCTGGGAGCATCCCGGCAAACGGTGAGAAAGGAGATGCAGACGTCGCTCTTTTGGACGTCAACGAAGAGAAAGACCGAGATGACGCCGACGACTTTTCCAAATCTATTGATCCAATGGTACGGTCGTTGTCATTCCCTCTCTGGACGAGCTTTGGTCACTCGTTGACACCAATCTTATCCAGGTCGTCGCCGAGAATAAGAAAGCAAACCCTATCTTCACCGGCCTCCTGCGGTCCAAGGGATTTTTCTGGCTCGCCACGCGCTCTTTCTTACATGGGGAATGGAGTCAGGCCGGGACCATGCTCACTTTACAAGGTGGTGGTCCTTGGTTTTGTGCTCTTGATGATGGTACGAATCCGTTCCCCGTCCCTGGCTCATTTCGCAATGGTTTGCTTGGAGGCAACATTGGTACACATTTCACACGCTAACCTAGTATGCCTCTAAGCCCTTTGGCCTACCGACCCCGATACACGCGCCAGCATTGAAGCCGACTTCGCCGACCCCTGGGGCGACCGACGACAAGAAATTGTGTTCATTGGCGAGAAACTCGACACGGTCGGTCTGAAGGCCGAATTTGACCGATGCTTGTTGACAGATGCCGAAATGCAAAAGTGGGAGAAGATCATGAAATCTTCCGAAGATAAGCAGGTTATCAATGATAAACTAGCAGTCGTCTTTGAAGGTGACATAATCCAACAACATCAGGATGTCTTACATGAAATTCACAACTGACATATGGCAGATGGCTTTGAGGATTGGCCTGAACTTGTGCAAGACGAGGAGAGCGGGCACGTTCATGACCATGAGCAAGGGCTCAGCCAACATCAACATCACATTCAGCAGGGTAAAGTCATGAAGAAATGAAAGGAACGGGCTAGAGAACATGAGGCTCTTCTCCACTTCAGGGTCCCTTAATTTATCTAAGACAAGCGAGAGGTTGCACTGGCATCCTAGTCCTCGTAAGCTTGGCTGGATCGTCATGTGATTTTTCCTGCGTCAGGCAAGAGTCTGATGCCTTGATTATAGAGTAGCTACCACAGAGATTACGAACTCGCTGCTATGTTATGTCAGTTCGAGACTATGTGGCAGCCTCGCCAGATCGAACGAGGCTGAGTGGGCGTCGAGCGGTAATCCCCGCCGCTCCCTGATCTTGGCACTGCGGTGGGGCGAAGGGCCTGCCGAGCGTAGTTCTAACTTGGCATCCAAAAGTTGCGTGAAAGGGTTCTTGTCCACCTGAGCTGCTCTCCAATCTCCGAGCTCTCCCACGACCGCGACAACGACCTCATTCCACGCAACCTTCACCACAACCTCTTTACCAGTCGCTCCGCCAGCTTTACCTCTGCTCAAGTGATCAAGTGACAACACTGTCCCGGCGCGCCCAAGGCGCGATACACACTCAACCATGGTTCACAAGATCCTGTTCTGGGCCGGTTTCGGTAAGCATCAGTCCCCCTATAAACTGACGGAACACGTCCAAGGACTTTCCTTTTAACGCTCGAGCAGGCATCGCCACACGCTTCGTCCAACTCGGCATAGAGATGAGACCTTTTTTCCAGCGCGGCACGTTATGGGTATACCCGCTCTTCGCGAGCATTGGGGGTTCGTTTGGTTATTGGTTGACAGGCGTGGAGGATAGACAAGTCAAGCTCTTACAACAGCGGAAAGAGATTATAATCGAGAAGAGACGACGGAGGGCCGAACGGGAAGCTGCTGCTTCTTCCGCCGAGACCGCAGGTGTGCTGGCGTCGACGAGTTAAACGCACTAAGCAAACTGGGTGGATTAATGATGCAGAGCTAGGAGTGGTTGTGAATCGACTAGGGACTTGCTGATCATGGCAAGTTGCTGAGGTAAAAAGAAGCAAAGAGCGAGGAGCCGCAACACCATACCACACCCACACTACTATTGTACAAAGGCCCACGACGTTTTGTATGACAATGCCGTATACAGCATTCTCAAAAGCCATGATGACATGGAGTGAATACAGCTCCAAAAATAGACCATCAATCCATCCTCGTCGACTCTCCAATGTGCCCCTGGTGCTGACTCGCATTTCGCAGGCCCCTTTTTCTGCATGACAGTGCGCCTGCGGAGTCCCCAACAATGTGCCTGATACAATTGGAGAAGTGGGAAGATGGGGTTGGGAAAAGAATCTTGCTCGGTCATACCGAAGAACTGATAGGGAAAACTATGCCGCCGGGAAGTATTTATTGATTGCTCCGTCGCTTCTCCCAGCCCTATTTCTCTCCTCATGCCATCCTACTATGCTCTAGGCGGAGGCTCCTCAGGGTATGACTCGGCTCCCTCCGGAATCGGCACCAAAGCGCTCTTGGTCCAAATATGCGTGGCTGCGCTGAAAATATCTCCGTCAATCCCCTCCAGACATCCTCCTTTCACAGCGACGTAGCTCGGATTGCCCGAAGGAGCAACGCTGACATTCATAATGCGCGTTCCGCATCGTTTGCAGTAGTAGCACCTCTTGGGACGGCCAGAGGTTGTTCTGGAGTGCTCATAAATCCCGATCAATTCATTCTCCTTGCTTGAACCCCCGCCTTCCGGAACCGACTTCTGTTCCGGGTCCGCTGCTGCTGAGGTCTGAGAAAGGAGATCGAAATTGGGAAAAATGGCTGAGATGCCAAAGGCGCTTGCGGTTTGGCGGCGGCATTCGTGGCAGTGACAGATGTACCACTTTATGGGCTTTTCTTGAGGTGTGCGGAAGCGAACGGCGCCACATTGGCAGCGGCCTTCCATTATGCAGGAGCGGTATGTCTGGGTCAAGGAACAGAGGGATTGTTAAGTTCTAAACCCGTATTTCTAGATATCTAGATTGGAGGGAGAAGAGACTCTTGGTCGTGTCGATGGGCAGAGGACTGAAGATTTATTATGTAATGGTTGTTAACTGCCGTATCTCGAACGGCGGGAAATACGCACCTTGAATCCCATTACTAAGTGGGCACGGCAGAGGCACCTCATATCATTGCCCTCTCCTACCGAGGCAAAGCCACGCCGCAGCCCAACAAACCTCTTCCTTTTCCCTCGCCCTTCGCTCATCATCAAAGTCCTTCAATCATTTCTTCCCCCCAAACAGATCAACCTCTCCAACAGAGTCTCGTCATCCTGAGCATCCTCCTTTGCGCAGTCGACACGATGGCGTCCAGCAATGCGCTGAACATGTTTCTGCTCCTCGCCTGAGGCTGGGTCCACACAAACTGTCGATTAAGTCGTCGAGGCATTGGATGAGAGCTGAGGAGGAGACACTTGACCATGGTGACACCGTGCTCGACTTTACAGTGAGAGAGCGATCTGTCGGTCTGGGAAGCATCGCCCCATGTCTTGAAATCCTCACCTGCGCCATTCTTTATGCGGCAAGATGAATCTCAGCTTTTCGACCACGCTTCCACAAGGCGCAAGTATGCGAACGGATGTCTCGCAGTTCGTATTCTGCGACCTCAGTTCTATCAGGTTGGCTTGTTGATTTGGTAGCTGAGCTCTCTCCGATGGTAGAGCCTCGATCCTGGTCTCTCGTTTTCGGCTCCTGCGCGAACACCATTACATCGCAATTCTGAGAATATAGCGTCGTAAACCCCGCACTCAAGCATTGAGATACCTGCTCAAAGTCTGTGCGCCAGCCTGGGCACAAGGCAACGTTCAGCCTCCCTGGCCCTTTCGTATCTGCAACGACACACAGGGTACCGCTGCTCAACTGCGCCCTGCCCACCACTTTCGTATTTAAACCCCTCTAATCTCCCTCAATACCAGCCTCTTGCGTCTTCTTCACTTCAATGCTCCGACGGATGTTTTCATTTCAATATACCTTCAGCAGCTGGCTACACCAGTATAGAAAAGGTAGATTTCATCAAAGTTTTAAAGGACATAAGAGAAACCACGTGGATCGAGGAGCCTCACAAATCTCCAGTGGATTGGGGAGATCAGGTTTTCTACCTCTTGTTGCTAGATCGGTTCTCTGACGACAAGACAGGGACACCTTATGTCCACAGCCGAGATGAGGATAATGGGTTGAAGGCTGATCCAGCAGATAGGATACTAACAGACGAGGCGGCCTAAGACAGATGGCATGAGGTAGGGAAATATTGGGAGGGAGGAACACCAAGGGACATCGTTACTCAGCTTGGCTATCCCCCAAGAAGCTAGGCGTCAGAGCCATCTAGGTTGGTCCCATTTGCAAACAGGTCGACGCATACAGGACATATCACGGTATGGCATCCAGGACTTTCTCGACGTGGACAGGCATTTTCAGCACCCGAGAACATCTTCGCGACCTGGTCAAAGAAGCGCACTGTAGAGGCATTTACGTGATTCTTGATATCATCCTCAAACACTCTGGTGACGTGCTCGGGTATGTTGATGAAGACACACCCTATACAGGGGCCAAATATTGAGTGAAGGACTTCAGGGATGAGAATGCAAACCCTGACCTTCCGTTTCAGGAACAGCCTGCAGGTGCAAATCGTGACGCTCCCATTTGGCCCAAGGAGCTTCAAGATGCCTCAGCATCCCACTCGCTAAGAATACATAAAAAATCGAGACTATGATCTGGATTACCTTAGAAATCGGGACGTATTGATTCCGTTTCGGGAAGCATGGAATTCGGCTTGTGGGGCAATTTGGGACCATACATCCACCGGGTAGAGCCAGATCAGGGATGGAACGACATGTGCGCCGATCTCAGCAGCCACAAACGAGATGCCGGGGACGATAAGTGACTTCGGTGAGAAGGTCGATACCATTCTCACAAGCACGCCTCTGCCCATCTTTCCCACAATCCCAGCCTTGTGATAAATACTCTCAGGTCACCACCCCTGCCCAGCCCCAGGCAAGACATTCACATGGTCAATGGATCTTTAATGTTCCAGGAGGCAGTATTCTAGGCATCTCTTATTTATGTCCCTTCGCGACCCCCCTTGCTGTGTTTTTGGCATTCTTGGGTGGAGAAATGTAGTGAGTAGGGTGCAAGCCGTCCCCTATTCGCCTCCAAAACTCTTTCAAAAGACAACAGAGATTTCGCACGTAGTTGTAACGAACCACCCGGCTGACGGTAAACAACTTCGCTTCGGAAGTGGCAGTGTCTATCTACCCAAGATTGGCGTCGTGATCGTCCGCTGCCTACCGCGGCTTGTCTAGTATTTTGACGCAAACATCCGATCCCACGGCCGAAGGGACCATCCATATCTCGGACAATGATCACAGTTAACTAACCTAGAGACCCGTGAATGAGAGGGAGATAAGTGGAACCGAGGAGAAATGAGTCAAAGAGGTCCACCAGACCAAGTTCCGGCATTCTCACAACACATCAAGCCTGAAGCTCACATTTGGTTTTGTGACAAGAAGATCGGATTACGTTCCGCGTCTACTGGTAGCGGAATTCGGGACCCCCTTTACTTGGTGGAACAGACGAATTGGCTCGGAGCTTTCGCCAAAACAGGAGGTGTTCGTTCGACACCTTGTCTCAAAAAAAAGAGGGTCTGTGCCGCCGCTTTCGAGAACTCCCTAAAGCAGCATCCAGCTTTAACGCAATGGTTGTGACGAAGAACTCTCTCCGCGCGTCGTAGCCACGATCAATAGGGGATTTGGATTTGGATTTTGGATTTTACTCTTCGTCCACCACGTCGTCCTAGGCTATGCATCTATGTGGGCAATGATGCAAAATAGCATGCCATCTGCTGGGACCATGCAGCGAGAAACCGAATGCTTCTCAAATCTCCTTTGTTCTTGAGCGCAGTCGGATATGAGAACTCTAGTCTTCAAGGCTCGACTATTCCCTAACGTGTTTCCGTCTTCACGACCAGATTCCATTAGATGAAGACAGGAAGTCCCGGATCATGAGGATGTTATTTCGATGGCCTTGCGAGATGTTGCAGAAATCTTGCTTCCCTAACTATGTCATACCGTGAAGTCCTCATATTTTAACCTTTAGATTGGACCCAGCTTTTGAAATCCTCGCCACGACCGCAAGCACAGCACCGATGAGAATGGAGGTGGCGCTGAATATCTGGGCATACAGATACCCTCCTTGGTCTCGCTGGATCAAAGCTCCTTGGATGGCAGGACCCGTCAAGGTTGCGAAACTGACGATGGTCAGTACCATTCCTACTTGAGTCCCCACTTTGCGCAAATCTGTCACCATCACTGTCGCGGTCGCTAAGCAGAGAGATTGAGTCCCAGCAGCAACAATGCCGTATATAGCTGTGAATACCCACAGCGCTTTCACTGAGGAGACGGCTATCCAGCAGAACACCAAGAGTGCCGCGGTGAAAGTGAAGGGCAGCAATATGTTCAACGTCCCTGTATAGTAAACGCCAACCAAGTTGGGCAAAAACCGTCCGATTACGCCGACGCCGTTCAAAGCGACCACGAGATTGACTGAATCGGTCACCCCAAGTTTATCCCGAGCAAAAGTGCCCAGGTAGAAGAAGACAAAATACAGACCCCAGAAATTGAAAAAGAATGCCGCGGCAAAACTGGTATAAGGTAACTCCCGGAGAGCTGCCCATTCGATCAGTTTGCCAGCTTTCCGCGGCGGAAGTCGTGGTCGAAAGAACAGCAGCGACGGCATATGTGTCCCGAGCATGATGAAGCCAACGATCCGTATAGTCCAAGGAAAGCCAATGTCACTGTGATAAAGAAGCTGGTTCGCGACGGCCGGATACACAATACCACCCGTGGCACCACCCACCGCGGCTAATCCCACAGCCAAAGCACGTTTTGTTGAAAAGTACGACGACAGGACCGACATGGCCGGGCTGAAGACGAATCCATGACCCAGACCGACACAAATTGCCTGTGCAAGAAAGATCTCCCAATAATCCGTGCAAAGTGATGTCAGGAACGTCCCCATGAGTTGTAATATGACCCCGGACAGGAAAATATGTCGAAAGTACCCTGCATCGGTCGCCCGTCCAGCGTACACGCCCACGAAAAACAGTAGAAAGACTTGCACGCTCCCAATCCAGGATATGTCGGATGGCGGATGACCAAGGCTCTGTTCGTAGTATTGCTGGAAGACACCGAAGCTATTGGTCACTCCCCAGGTGTTGAAAAAGACGAAATGTGACAGCACAACGTGCAGCCACGCCATGAAGCCTCCGTCGGGGGGAGGCTGTACTTCAGGTGCCTGGAGCATGGGCACATTTGCTGAGGAAGCCTCGAGCTGTTGGGCACCGAGGCTGGCTTTGTCGGACGCTTTGCCTTTTTGCTCGTGCTTTTCGTCCTCCAACCGTAAAACATTTTGATTCCAAGCGGTTTGAGAGGCATTATGCCCATCTCTGGCAGGAGCAGCTGCAGGGTCTGGAGGGTCGAGAAGGGCCTCCATGACATGCGTTCCCGAGAGCCCCGAGGCGTAAAGTTAGTATTCCAGGAGGTGAGAAGCATTTGTACCTATGTAGACAGCTTTTCGGAGGTTTCTTTTTGACCGAAGGACTGTGCAGTTTTGAGTGAATGATATTGCAAATTAATAATGAGAGCTGCTTCTCCGCGGCCCGCTATAGATCTGCTCTTGCCTACGGCTGAACTAGTAAGGACTAGCGAGCCTACCTTGCATTCATTGAATGATAGTATCCAGGATTCAAGCTCCATTGTAAACAGGCTTGAGGCAAGTCCGTTTGCCGAATGTTTCCTAATCACCACCGACCGCTTGAAACTAGAGGAATTATAGCCTAGAGAATGTTTCAGTACGGTGCATTTCCTGCCCATCTCAGTCCTAGAACTTACTCTGTGTGCTAATATGGCAACATATCCATCTTTCTGAAGACACTCCAGGGTATTGGTCTGCCATGTTCAACCAAATGATGGCGCCCACCACAAATTGTCCGACCAAGGTTCAGAGGTTTACGTTATGGGGGATCGATGAGTCCTTCGCATGCAGTTTGCTCGCGAGGGTTTCCGGTACTGGGTCCTGGCAGATCATTGCCTATGCTCGCTTCTGTACTTGACCGAGAGTAGATTGGGTGGGGACGGGACGCACTCCCGTGTCAGTACCGTAAGCGATTGTAAATGGAGGGTAAGTATCAGTTCTTGTCCATCCAATTCGTCCTCTCTTCCATTGCGTTCGTGGATATCGCGTTGTGCATGACGAGAGAGGTATGCTTAGCGGCAATCGATTTCTCTTCCATTGAAGCAAGGCCTTTTGTTCCTGTCGAGGAGGTTTCGGCTATACATCCACCAGGACCCTCAAGCTTAGGATCGATGGTAATACTGTCTGCTTTGGCTCCAGTAGCATTGAATGGATACCTTTTACAAGAAGCCCAAGAGAAGGATCCGACCTCACCATCTTGTCGTCAAATTCTTGCTTCCTTTCATCCTAAAGTTTGGTATGGGCGTGAATCCTTTTCGTTGCTGACCTGTACTTATGTCAGCTTCCAGTCTGTATCTTGGACACCCACTTCGAATCTTGGGATGATGTGGGGATGGGAATCTCGCTAGTGAAAGGTATTCAGAACCTGGTTGAGATTATCAACATGTGATTGCAACCTGTCGCGGTATATCTTCAACGAGTCTTTATCTATATCCCATAGAATCTTCGCCTAGTTGGAGGCGATTTTGCGTCTCAGGAGCTCCCTTCTTTTCTGGCTTGGGCCAGCGTCAGCTTCGCCCTTATCGTCAAGCAATTTGGCGCCTTCGCGGTATTTCTTGGTCGCATTGTCCAGGTCTTCCAGCGTGGTTGCGCGATTCTGGATCATGTGATCCAGAGCTTGTTGCATTTATCGGGCCATTGATGTAGCGTGAGGCGGATACTGATGCCGGCGTCGATATATCTCCAGCGACATGGAGCAGGTGATCCTGGGCACAACGTAATCCGAACAAGGCGTTTTCTAGTTCTTTTGGTTCGCGGCTTGCATTACGTTTGCATGACGTTAAAGCCTCATAGAGCCTGTAAGACAGTTGCGAGAGTAGAATTGTGTCACTAACGCCGAACCCAAATGACATTGCAGTGAAGACCATTGATCAGGCTGAATTTAGAGGGGCTACATGAAAAGTGAAGAACCGCGAAGGAACAGCTTTATCTTGGATCCTGTCGCAAATGGCAAAGCAGTAATACAAGAGCGGACCATCGTAAGCACGTTCGAAGCGTGCTTCAAAGTGCTGAGCTTTTATTACTGCCGACTGCTTTGGTGTTTACACGAAGATCGGGCGAACGGTCCGAGGGGGTGACGAGAGGTTTGTTCAGCTTCTGAAGCCTTTCGCTTGGCCTGCATACTCACACTGGCCATTGATTCTTTGGACCAGTCCTTGTCTGCGGTATTACGAGGCGAACAGGCAAACAAAGCCCCTAGCCCTTTTCCCATCTGGTGAGATTGGATCTAGAGCGGCCTCCCCTGCCCCCTGCCGCCTCGATAAAAATTGCTGCCTTCCAGCCTTACCACCAAGAACATCATTCTCATTCTCTTTCTTGACTATCCTCCTCCCATGATGCACATCAAGTGATAACATAGGCTTCTCTACACTGTCAGTCGACCATAGCCGCAAGTCAAGCAGATGATGGATCTGGTTCTGCGCGCGGCTTAGAACGCCTCCAAATCCAAGGTCTCAAACAATTCACTTCCTCCAAATCCGAAAAAAACCAGCAAAGAGACCATTGTTCTGCGTAGCAACACGCCGATCTCAGCGCTATCGGACAAACTACGGGGTCTGTCGTTCTCCAACGGCTTCTCTACTAGGTGTTTTTGAACATAAGGTTAACCGTTTGTAGGGCTTGGTTATCAAAGTCTCGACTTGCTCTCTCGTAACAGTGAGAGGTGGACATCTCATCACACTAAACTACAGTTCAATGAATTCGAGCACATCACGGTGGTCCAAGACCACTTGTCTGAACCTAGCAAATCTATCCATGTTGATGACAGACTGATTTAGTACACAAATTGACACTTCGGCGGCCCCGATTGAATTCAACGTAGATGAAAAGAACTCGAAACGCTACGGCGTCAAGGGCGATAGGCTGAAGGAGGCCCGTGGGTACAAATCGTGTTTTACCGGACACTGAGGATGCCAGATGACAAAAAGCTTCACCAGCTGCCCGCATCACTGGGGGCTTTCCCCCTTTATAGTGTTGCTGGTTATTCTGGCAACCTGGCCGATGAGATTGAACAGGCAGGCGGAGTGCTCATACCCATGTGGCAGCGAGAGGTACTTTGAATGAGCCTTGATGCTCCAAGTGACACGCATTATGCTTTGAGATTCGATGTTGGACGCATCAATGCCATCTCTGGACTGAAAATGGATGAAACAAAAGAATTACCGGAGGACATAGAAGACACTCAAGTCTACGTCGTCGTCCCGGGCCAAAATTGGCTCGATGGGATTTGTGTTGCACCTAGGGTCGTCCGGCAGTTTGTGGCCATGCCATGTGAGTTGTTCGTCTGCCGTCTTTGAAGCACAGTAATCCGCCTGACGAAGCGATATCAGTGGGCTCTGGTTACACTGTCGAGGGCCAAAAGACAGGAAAGGAGAAACATGGAGGACTACGGATCGAGATCATTGCTTCTTTCAAGACAAACCTGCGAACGTGGATCAAGTACAAAGATCAGTCTCTAAATGCAGCAGTACTCCAACACCGTCTCCAATACGATCGCCTCGACGAATTCGAAACAGCGCGTGAGGTGGGGTATGAAGTAGGCGACGAGATAAGGATGTGCCCACAGAAAACCCTTGAATTAGTTCCATGCACATTGACGGATATGATTTAGGAAGGGCAGAGAGACGCAGATTGTGAAGTAAGTACTACCCGTTTCTATGGCGACATATTGTTAATATCGAGCCTGTCAGCTCACAGCGATTTAGAGCAATATCATCGAGTTTCCCAAAGACCGGAAAGTGGGTAAGATGTCTCTTTATTCGCAAAGTCCTTTGCACAACATAGATCAAGCCTCCAACTTTGACATGGACTGGTCCTCCTCCTCCTTGCTCTCAGAGGATTCCTTCTATTCTTTAGCGCCAACGCCCTTACCGGGGGCTTTGCCCTAAACTTTGCAGGCCTCCCCGCCCTCCCTGCCAGCCTACGGCTCCTTTACAAACATTTGTTCGATACCTCCAGTCCCTGAGCCATCATGATTTCTCGCACCTCCTAGAGATCAACGGCAAACAGGACAAGTGGGAACAGAAATCAAAGCCAAAATAACGACCAAGGATCTTAATGCAATGGGTCTTGCCGCAGGCGGCAAGCTCGGTAAGTAACCCCATATTAGAATCATGGGCCCATCACACGCTCAAGGGTGGTTGTTGCATTGACTATAGTGTGGCTCATTTATCCGCGTTTTTCACAGTTCAAGACATCTATCGCGACCGTAACCCAGCCCAAAGCTGCGAGGCTCGTCCATGCCCACATCCTGGATCCGGCTTCCAGCGAGGCTGTGACCCATATCGTCCCTCCGCGGCCGCCAACGGACGCGATAGGTTACATCAAAGAGGACGGCTCGTTCTTCGTCGTGGAAGAACAGCCTGAGAACCGAGTTGAGGACGGAGACTTTGACAACGTCAAATCTGTCTCGGGGATGGACAAGGATCAAGCTGTCGAACCAGAATCGTCGCTTGATCCAACGCAGGCAGCCCAGTGCAAATGCGGGATCAGATTTTGTGACTGCCGTGTAAGCCTATAGCCCGTGACATTGCCAGGGCTAGTCTGTATCTTTGCTAACGAAATCGGGAGATACAGGGTTCGCCCTTGCGACCACCAGTTTTGCAATGGCTGCATCCGCGAAATGGACCAGTCGTCATTGACTAGGGCCTTCACTTCCGCCGAGCCACAATCAAGAGGCAAATGGGTATGCGCGTCATGCAAAGCCGCGGTAACCTACGTCGCGGGCTTGTCTGCGCCCATGAACCTGTCTGGAGAAGAAAGTTCAAGGTCAGCGTACTGGTCAATGGGCTCGAGGTCAAGGATGGTAGAGTCGGGTTCAAAATCGTTCAGCAGTCAAGGGTCTGAGAGGCTGGCTCGAGAGCAACTGCTGGAACCTTTACGAAGTATCTAGGGGAAAGGAATAATACTGATCTGTCTAACTGGAATCTATTGGAGTGAAAGCTCCCCGATACATGAGTTAGCGCCGCTTTTTGAGATCGATGACTTGGATATCTCCAACAAAAGTTCCGCCGTCTTTGGAGGATTTTAGGGTTAATCTACTGGAACGCCAAGTCAAACTGTTCTCTTGCTTGGACAAGACACATTCGAAGAATCTCAACGGCCCTTTTCTCCATTGGAGCTCATTTGGATTGACGAAAATATTTCGTCTCATCTGTGAATGATGCTTAACGACGCGAAATTAATGCTTACAACCCACTTGACAGGCATGTAACAAACAAACATAATCTCCCCAACCAGTAAGCTTGATTCACTGATTTTGGACAGTCTGCGCTTTTGCTGGACATGTGAAGAGCAGCGACGTCACAGTAGTCACTGAAAACCCCATTTTCATTGTCAAAATAGTTGTCTCTGATGATTGGTATGAGAAGTAGTAGAAAGAGCAGGCGCTACGTGATGCCCACGCCTGCCTTGGGGCTAAATATCCTCTTCGCCATTTGATGCTCTCCTAAGCCTACCTCATGTTACTGGCTCACCTTCAAAATTTGGAATTGGTGTCGTGCGCTGATCGCAATTTATTTAGGTAATCATATTGGCGACGCAAGCAAGAAGGAAAATGGGAGTGATGAGCTGCAGACGGTTCCACCGTGTCCATATTCGACTTTGAACAAGCCTTCCAAATCGCTGTCCGCTGAGATGTTTCAAGCGCGGCTAAGAACAATAGGCATGGTGTGACTCTGCAGTCCTTTGTATTCCTCCCAGAAGTCCACAGTTAGTATGCTGTGTGTGTGAAGTTGTGGGCCGCCGTCTACTGGGTACTTTGGGGTGTAGTGCATGGTGAATACCCGCCTTGGTGCTGGGTCAATCCTATTTGGCACTAGTGCCAAGGTTTCTTCGGTCAGAGCTATTGGACTAACTAGATGCGGCAATCAGAAGTTGGGTCCGGCGCTCTATTCGCGAATACCAGATTTGTGCCACCAGTCGCCCGTAATCTCTTGCATGACACGATATCCAGTATTCATGACCGCTGTCGTTGATTTCATCAAGACCCGGTCTACGCCGACTACAATTTAACCATCATCCCCTCCGTTCCACATGGTTCTCCTTCCCGTATCTTGAGTTTTGATTGTCATCACTCTTGCATACAAGTCATTGCTCCTTTTGTATCAGCTGCGCTATCAAGCTATGCTGACTGCACTCTTACCGCATCTGAGCTCCAAGACTGAAGACCCAACACAGGCGACATATCCCTCCCAGAAGCCGACTGTAGCAATGAGCGATTATTTCTGGAAAAATTGGCCATCGCATTACCCACTCAGAACCCTTGAAACTGTGCCCCAAGGGAAGCCTAAGTAGCTACCTACATAGTATAGTATTAATTTCCACTAGAATCTTAGCAGAATGCGGAGGTGCGTCTGGTCCGACAGCAACAGGTCAAGGAGGTGATCAAGAGGTGTTGGTCTTCATACCAGGAGAGGGCATGGATGCACGATCATCTGGCTCCATCTCTGGCAGAGCTCGTGATGCCTTTAATGGCTGAGCTGCGCTTTTGGTAGACTCGCTCGATACTCTTTGGATTGAGGGACTGAAAGTCGTAGTTAACAAGGCCGCTTTAGCCCCTGTCAATCTCGAATTCTCTACGCCCACTGACGACACAATGAATCTCTTCGAGCGAGACCACCGTCCACTATCTTGATGACTTCTTGGCTATTTATTATCTCAGTAGTAACGAACCGTTGCCGACCAAGGCTATGGAAGTAGGCGGGCTGCTGTTTGTTGCATTTGACACTCCCAATCATCCGCCAATCACAAAGGTGGGATTGGAAGAAGGCTGCTAATGGACCGAGAAGCAAGTCCCTGGATTTTACCCGCCTCGGTCAGCTCACCAGTGACAACAAATGGAACGATGCCATCAATAGAGCTACGAGAGCCTGTTTGACCGGCGGCAAGCCAAGACGAAGATCCCCGGACTCTGGTCTGTCGTTGTAATCCCCCGAGAAAAGGACATGACTCGCGACCGGAGCTTTACTCTTGGTGGCATGTCCAACTCATTATATAGGTAATTTGCCAAATAATATGTCCTGCTCGGAGGCTTCGAGCCAATATATCAAAAGCTGCATCACGAGTCGATGACTGCTTGGATTCAACACTTGTTGTTCAGGCCAATGACACTCACAGGTGCAGACACCCTATTCGGCTAGGAGGTCCGCGTAGATGATAACGGCATCTTATAGGAGCGAAGAGGCCCGTATCTATCGTGCTCTGCAGGTGCCATATTCGCCTTGGATGGTCACTTATTTTCCAACTCTGATCATGTCGAGATCGGTCAAGAGCTTTCGGACAGGTATGTCTGGGTCTACGAAAACATGGCTGGAGGTGTCATGCCTGGGATCGCCTACTTTGTCGCCTGCCCTTCAAAGGTCAATTGTACCTGGGTTCTAGCAACGTATGGCGCCGCCGTCCTTGATCGTGTAGGCTTCATCTCGACAAACAGTAACGCTAACGACATTGTTGTTCAAAAGCGACTTCCTCCAGGCTGTCCCGACGTCAATGATGGTCGCTGCATTCTTCGACCTGCAGCAATTAAAAGCGTCTTCATTATGTACCGATTTATAGACGGCAGAAACTACCGGGAGAAGGCAGGGCGGATGTTTGGGTCGATCAAGAAGATCACCAGGACCGAATTCGCCATTGCTTCCATCTCTGATGTTACAGCTACCGATTTGGACCACTTACCTCCCAGGGATGATCAAATGGAGAGCTTCTGGCTGGCTGAGACGCTGAAGTATTTCTATTGGATCTTCAGCGAACCGGACCCAGTCAGTCTGGACGAATACGCGGTCAACACCGAGGCACATCCCCTTCAGCGTCCGACCTAGGTGCATGAACACGAATGGTTGGGTACGGGTGCAGGAAGACCTATCCTCCGACGGATCCTGAGCTACTCAAGAGCTATACTGAGTGTAGCCCCAGTAGCTTCGCCTTCCATACACAGACAGATGAGATGGGACAGGTAATAATGCATTCAAAAGCCGACCACAAACTCTCCTGGTATGCCTTTCAACAATTATATTATTACAGAAGTAGAAAATACTGAGTTAAATTTTACCAGTCTCGAGCTTGTAAACTTCCAGACCCCAGTTTTGACCACATCATCAACACAACACGACCAACGGACCTCTTCCACACGTGGTTGTCCTACCCATCCGTTGCTGCGATATTGTCTCGGCCAGCTCCCTAAGCTTTGGGAGTCGGTTCTTTCTTCTTCTCCGAAGCGCCTGGGATTTTTGTGCTGAGGTCTCCGAGCGGAAGTTTGATTGGGAAGTCCACGGACTGGAGTATCAGTGTGAAGAAGAGGTACCAGCCCAAGATGGAGAAGACGAATACGAATGCACCCGCAGCCTGAGTTTTACATCAGTCAGCGCTAGTCCATGAACCGTCGGGATGCAAGTCATTGTCCATCGAGTCCCCATGGGAATCCTGGTTGCTTTGACACGGGGATACGTTGAGGGGACCAACTCACTTTTTGGCACTTACGAGCAGTGTTCACGTTGCCGTCCGCAACTGTCCAATAGCACGCCATCAGCATAATAAATGCAAGGTCGATAAAGAAGAACACCAAGGCAAAGGTGATGTTGGTACGAAGGGATGCGACCAGGAAGAAGAAGGTGACGAGGGCCATGGCGAGGAAGAAGAAAGCTGTGTAGCAAAAGTGGTGTCAGCGTGGATCTAACCATTCGATTCAATGGACCGGCGTGGGGGAACTGCAAGCCTAGAGCTTACCATAGCTGGAATAAAACTCTGCAATGCCGTCTGGCTGGGTGAGGTAGAAGGTTTGGGCGTTGAACTCAGGTTGGAGCGTAGCTCCCAGTGCCAACCAGAACGCACCTTACGAAAGAAACAGCGTTAGCGACTCGTCCATCGAACTCGCAACTTCCCAAACAGACGAGAAGATCGTGTGCTCACCGTAACAGGCGAAAACAATGAATGGAAAGGTGTTGCCGATGATCCATTCCAAAACAGCGCCCAGTAACTGAAGGAGGCCGCCAAAGAAAAAGAACGTGCCTCTGGAGGCAGATATCTGGTTAGCAGATACAGCACGGGAAGATCGACTCATCATCTAGACTTACATAAGAGCAGCCCCTTGACCGCCGGAGCCTCTCCATTCCATGAGATTACACCCCAACGGCAGAGCAGCGATTAGGAATCCCATCAATGGCCTACAAATCATCCCATTCTATTAGCTTCGCAATCTCGAGGCGTCATTCTGCGCTTCCCGTCTGAACAGCTTAGACTCACATGGGCGTAGGGTTTGCGAATGTGCTCCTGAGATGACCGAGTCGTGCGGTGTACGGGGTAAGGTACATCGACGCAAATTCGTCCCTAGGCATCATCTTGGAGGTGGTCTCGTAACGAGTCAGGTAGTCACTGTGTTGGTCGTGAGACCCGGCAGGGTGGATAGGCTCAAGGGAGGTGCCGCCATTGGTAAGATTGTCGTTTTCTAATCCATTCGTCGCCATCTTTGTTCAATGCTTTCGCTCTCGACGTTCCTAGATTTGCTTGAATGGTTGAGGTTTTCAATATCCTCTTGAGAGGTTCTATTCCAAGAGGAGGAGGAGATGGAGGACGTGAGAAGATGCTTTGATTCCATCTTGTGCTTTATGTGGGTTCTGTTTCCACTGACTTTGCCTGCAAGGGCCTCCGAAGGACTGGGGTAGAATACGAGGTCGTGCTCGACTTGTTGTCTTGGATCATGCGCTCAAGTCAATGGACCTGGTGCTTGTCGCATTCTTTTCGCGAGACTCCTTCGCAGATTGCACAGTTGGGATGGACTGCTTGAAGCATGGCTCGCATGATTAGAAATAAAATCTCCTGAGCGGGACGAACTTAGCAGCCTGTTGAACCACTAACGACGTCTTTAGGGTGACATCAATCATAGCATTTTGCTAGTCCATAACGCTGTTGGGACCTCATCTGGCACAACTGTCCCATCCACTTAGAAGGTATCGTCCATTATTGATCGATGTACAGCAGCAGTGGCGTTGAGCTACCATGCTGGCGCAAGACATGGCCAGACACCAACACCACAAGAAAAATCCAGTTGGACCGCTGATTTGTGGTACAGACAAAGAGCCAAGCAATAGCTCGGTAGACCGGTCCAGAGCATCACACGATCCTCACGTCTGTTTCAATGCGCGGATGGCGCCACTTTTCTGCTGCCTTTGTACGGCCTGTGAACTGGCACCGGAATCGTATGATGGACCTGACTCGCCTTTTGGATTGTCGTATGCTCAATTGCCGAAGGAGGGAGCAACCAGCGCAATGTGCGAACAAGACGAAATTAACGGCTTTAGGGCTACGGCAGCATAAAATGTAAGGAAAGTTTATCCTTATTACATGTCGTTCTCGTAGATTAACGCAGTTATCGAATATGGTCCATGGATTCGGCTGGCGGGCCGCAGCTCTTGGTAGCGCATTCCACAGGCTCCAGATGGTACATGCATGACGATGATGATGCGGGGGGGAAACCCGGGGAATGTCGTGTTGAACGGAGTAGTTGTAGATCGAGTGATCACTGATCAGCCACCGGCTCATCCGCCCAAGTCCGATTAGAGACCTTGGCTAACAAGGATGCAAGCAATCGCCCATCCAGGTAGGTACTTGAGCAGGCGATTTTGCTTAGAACAGCATTTGGGGAACGTACATCACACAGACATAAACAATGACGGCATTGCCATTGTCTTTGAGGCGCCCAATCTGCCCAAAGCTTGTATACTGTTACGCCTGAGCTTCTCCATTCCAAGCAGGAACCATACCGCGGAAACGGCGACCAAGTTCTCCCTTTTCTCGCTTTTGACAATGTTAAATACAAGACACCAGTTCCATGTAAAGACCATCAAGGAGAACTGCTACTTCGACCGTCTGCGTTCCTTTCATTCTGGCTAGAACGCCGCCTCAGCTCATCCGACTGCCGCCGCAATTCCTGCGAAAGCTCCCTCGCAAGCTTGATGTTCTCCTCGAGCGTATGGTGGCGGATGAGGACGTCGCCGCTGGCGCCGCTTTCAGCTTCATTCTCCTGGCCCCGCGAGATTCGTCGGAGGCTCTCTTCCAGGGTGTGGTGGAGAAAGACTTCGGATTCGTCTCGATTCTGGATCGGCGGGGGGACAGCCACCTCACTTAGACCGCTGTATGGGTCAGATGGACGTCGGGGTTTCGTTGGGTGAGAGGATTTCCCCCCCGAATCTTTCTTTTTGAACAGCGAAAGGAGTTTTTCCAACATGGTTTCGTGATCGATTGTAGATGTGCGCTGATAAATGCGCGTTTCAATATTGTCCTGGTTGGCGATATTTTGAGACTCACAACTTGGGAAGATAGTGTCATCTTAGGCACATTTCCGGGGCACTGACGTTTCCTGGAGGTTGTGAATCAATGTTTTAGCACTGTTTAGATATCGGGGATCAGGAGATGTCCGGCTACCACTTAGACAGATTCAAGGTGCCGCCTTCTGTGCGGGCGATGTCCATCACGCCACCTGCCGGAGACAAAGGGCTATCGAGGCATCCAGTGCGAGGGCCCGCTATTATGATAGATAAATACCACGTACATAGTTATATGAAAAGGTACATATCTAGACAAACCCATTAGCGCAGGGGAAATCTGATTTCTATTTTCCCTCCAGCTCGTACTTAATCTCCGTTGGACGCTCCATGTTGCTCATTTCTCACCCACAAGTGGTTCTGTATATTGTAATATCCTTGCGGTCAAGTGTCTCTGCAGAGGTGTCTTCAGATTTCTGGAACTTGCTGTGTTGCACAATGGATGCCTCCACCCGTCCTAGGCAAGATGTTGATCGGCACCTGCACCACCTCCCTCTCAGGAAACAATCGTTTGAACAACTCAAAGGCCGCAATGTCCTGTCTATCCTGCCCGAATTTGGGCATGATAACGCCCCCATTTACAAGGAGATAATTGACATATGATCCAATGACTTCGTTGTGCTTATCTGGTGGTCCAAGTAGTGTTGCGTCCGGTTCCTCGCAGTCGTACACGGTTAGTGTGCGGCCTTTTGCGTCTTTTGCGGATGTGAGGATAGAGCGGGCAGAGTTGTAGACGCCGATTGCGGTGGAATGCGCATTTGGGCCAGGCTTGCTCAGGAGCACGACGCCAGGCGATGTGAAGCGTGCTAGCGCGTCGATGTGGTAGTCTGTGATATCGTAGCCTTTGACGCCGGGTATCCAGATGAAATGCGTGACCCCGAGCTTGTCCATGAGCTCGGCCTCGATTTCAGATTTGGAGAATCCGGGATTACGGTTGTCGTTGATGATACAACTTTCGGTGCCGAGGAAGGTCCCTTCGCCGTCATGCTCGATGCCGCCTCCTTCTATGGTGATTTTTGAGGTTACTATTGTTTCGCTTTCATACGCGGCTATCTGGGCAGCGACGTTCTCGTCGCCAATGGCCGGGAGTTTGCCGCCCCAGTAGTTGAAATTGAACTTCACTGCCGTCCGTTTACCCGTTGGCAAGTCTTGCACGAAGACAGGCCCGCTGTCACGGATCCAGAGTTCGCTTACTGTGGCTGGTCCAACCGAGACATTGTCGCTGGCCATAGATGTTGCTTGTGAGATGAGTCCGTCCTGGGCGTAGAGGCGGACGGATTCGAAGCGAGAGATAGCGTTGGCGATGTGCACCACTTCGGATTGTAGCGCTTCCAGGTGCTCTACGCTTTCAGCGGATTCCATGCTGGGGAAAGCCATCAGCGTGCGCGAGTGGCGAGCGCTTTCCGCTGGCATTCGAAAGCGACCCTGCTGGGCGGCTTCTGGGGGTTGCTGTTCAGGCACATCCGACGAAAGCCTGGCAGCCGACATTCTCGACGGTATTG